GGCGGTGCTGCCCCGAGGACTGCCCAGCTCCTGCACTGCACTTGGGGGGGGGGGAAAGAAGTCCCCCCCCCATGCACCTTAACTCTGTCCATGGGTTCAGAGCTTCTTCCCCATGGGAAACACCGGGGCTCTGGGCCTCAGGCACTGGGTTTCAGCTATGGGACGCCTTGGCCCCCCCTGAAAGGATACAGGACCCCCCCAGGGGGGTGCAGCTCCACCGCTGAGAACCATTGACCTAAGGTATGGGATAGCCTGAGTCAAATCCCTACCCCCCACTTCCTGTTAAGACGCAGTTTGAAAGGGATCACTTAGTTTTAGGTATGTGGGCTATATACCTGGGGGACAGGACTCCCTCAGACTTGTCTGTGGAAGGTATTCCACTTTATCCATAAACCCCTGTATGGAGGAGAGCTTTTCAGTGTAGTCTCCAACAGCCTTGGTGAATACCCTAACCACTGGAAACAAAAGGGTGATTTGCATATTTTCTGGGGCCCACATTAATGTTTAAGTACAAGGGGAAGAACCAGTGACAAGTGCATGCACCTGAGGTTGTAGCTCACCTTTTCAAACCCTACCCCCATATCCTAGTGGGCTTTTCATCTTTGCTTTGGCCCCCATTAAGAGGCAGTTAATGTGGAACACCTTCAACAAGACTGACTGAGGGCACAACACGTCAGCATACCTCATAGACTAGTACTTAGGCCATTCACTTGAGTGGTAAGAGGCCACTGTTCACATCCCCTTGACTCAAGCAAAGAGAGGATTTGAACCTGACTTTATCACTTGCGGGGTGAGCACTCAAACCCCTGGACTAGAGAGGGCCTCAGACTATGGCCCAATTATTATTGAATGAAATTGGAATAGCTTCACCAATTGCTGTAGGGTAGTCCACATCAATTTATATCTTAGTTTAATGATTGGGGCACTCGCCTGAGAGATGGCATACCCCCTGCTTTAAGCCTGGCTCACTGGGTGGGATATTGAACCAGCAGCGACCTCTTCCCCCCCACTCCCCTGGTGAGTTCCCTAACCACTGGGTAAAGGTTAGGCGGGAGCACTGCTTCTCTTCTCAGAACCCTCATCGGGGAGGTAACAGATCCCCCATTCCCCCGCACCTTCAAAGCCCTTTTCCTCAACAGGGAAAGCGAAGAAACTGACCCATGCTCTTCAGTGTCCTGAGTGAATACTCTAACCATTGAGCTAACAGGAGTCTGTCTTCTCGACCACCTTGTGTGGTGTTAGGTGGCCACTGAGCCTGCCAACCACCTCAAGTCCCACAGGTAAGAATGTCCGTTTGCCCTGGGTTTGGTGCATAGGTGTCTGGTGCCTAGAGTGAAGTAGTAGTATGTGTGCCCAGCTGCATAAACGTAGGTGCCTAGGCAGCGTTTGGAGCAAAAACGTTAAGTGGCAAGTGAGTTTATATGGTTAGGAAGCAGCTGAGCAGGGTTTTTGTGGCTCTCAGTGGTGCTTAAAACTGGAATTTAGGTATCTTTGTGGCTCTGCCTTTGTGTGCCTATGGTACATACTGAGCACACATAGGCTCAGCTCAGCACTGCATGCCTGCTGCATCAGGGCCCGCTGTAACTCTGACTAAAACTCTACTGGATTCCCCGTGTAGTTTGCCCCATTGTTTAAAAAAAGGGGGGGGGGACAGGGGAGAAGTTCATCACCAAATAACTCCCAAAATTGTACCACCCGCCGATGCTATTCTGCCTCTTCATCTAGCATACCAGTGCTCAAGGCAATCTAGTTCTGTATTTGCGAGTACTCTAAAATTAAACACAACTCATTTGTCAGGAGGGAAAGAGAATTGTATCTCTGGCTTGAAAATTTGTATGCTAGTAGAAGGCCTTGAGTACCATTTGGGGTCATGGTCAAGGGGTGACAATCTGTCTATGAACTTTAGAGAGCTTTGAAAGTTTACCTTTAAACAGCCATGTGACTGCAGCATGCATGTGGGTCTTGGCACCCATTGGCAGCCCATGCCTTGCTCACAGCAGCCGCACTTGGTAGAAACAATGCTTGGATTATTGTCTTTTGGAGCTGGGTGTTGGTCAGATTAGGAGAAAGCTCCTGAGATATGTTCTATGTGAATCCTGCTTATTTTTTCCATGGCATTGAGCAAAAGAAAAGTGATTTTTTTCCCATCCCAAGAACCAGCATGAACTATCAGTTGTGGTGTCTCAGTAAAGTAACCACATATCTATTCAGGGGACACCATCACAGGGCCTAATAACATCAGCCACACTATCAGAGGCTCGTTCACCTGCACATCCACCAATGTGATATATGCCATCATGTGCCAGCAATGCCCCTCTGCCATGTACATTGGTCAAACTGGACAGTCTCTACGTAAAAGAATAAATGGACACAAATCAGATGTCAAGAATTATAACATTCATAAACCAGTCGGAGAACACTTCAATCTCTCTGGTCACGCAATCACAGACATGAAGGTCGCTATCTTAAAACAAAAAAACTTCAAATCCAGACTCCAGCGAGAAACTGCTGAATTGGAATTCATTTGCAAATTGGATACTATTAATTTAGGCTTAAATAGAGACTGGGAGTGGCTAAGTCATTATGCAAGGTAGCCTATTTCCTCTTGTTTTTTTCCTACCCCCCCCCCCAGATGTTCTGGTTAAACTTGGATTTAAACTTGGAGAGTGGTCAGTTTGGATGAGCTATTACCAGCAGGAGAGTGAGTTTGTGTGTGTATGGGGGTGGGGGGGGATGTGAGAACCTGGATTTGTGCTGGAAATGGCCCACCTTGATTATCATGCACATTGTAGGGAGAATGGTCACTTTGGATGAGCTATTTCCAGCAGGATAGTGAGTTTGTGTGTGTGGTTTTTGGGAGGAGGGTGAGGGGGTGAGAGAACCTGGATTTGTGCAGGAAATGGCCCAACTTGATTATCATGCACATTGTGTAAAGAGTTGTCACTTTGGATGGGCTATCACCAGCAGGAGAGTGAATTTGTGTGGGGGGGTGGAGGGTGAGAAAACCTGGATTTGTGCTGGAAATGGCCCAACCTGAAGATCACTTTAGATAAGCTATTACCAGCAGGACAGTGGGGTGGGAGGAGGTATTGTTTCATATTCTCTGTGTATATATAAAGTCTGCTGCAGTTTCCACGGTATGCATCCGATGAAGTGAGCTGTAGCTCACGAAAGCTCATGCTCAAATAAATTGGTTAGTCTCTAAGGTGCCACAAGTACTCCTTTTCTTTTTGCACATGCTGTTAGTTATAAGCCTACTCCCAAAGAGCAGAAACATTCGGACACAGTCACGCAGCAACGCTAATATGACAGTCTAGCAAGTAGCTGTATCTCTGCCTGTTGATGGCTTTATAAATTAGGAACATTACTTTGAATTCATGGCATGGACAGACCTGACCTAACCAGAGTTAATGAAGAACCAGGCAGTAGCTGAATCAAATAAGTCCTTGCTTGGTATCACTAGCAGGATTTGAAGGTAAGTGACTCCACTCCCACCCAAAGCAGCTTTTTCAGACTTAGCAGCCTGGGTCTCACTGGTATCTTTATTGTACTACGATAGGAAGCAAGGACCTCTGGATAATGTGTGCTACATGTAGTCTGCTAAGAAGAACATAACCAGTGAGAAACTGCCACCCACAATGAACTCCTTCAGGCAGTACCTGAAACATGCAAATATCAGTCACATGTTTGGCCTCATGCAACAGTTAGTATCTTCAAGTGTCCCCAATAGCATGGGCCATCTTGTTCTTTACATAATGGTGCTGCCACCTGCTCCAGAACCCATCCTCACCTTTGTGCGGTGTGGCGCTGTGAGTACCTGTGCAACAAGGAGATGCAAATGACACAGGGAAGACTTGGCGAATTCTGATGCATGCAACGGTGACAGTGACGAGCATACCAACAAAGTACTGTACTCGTCAGTCACAGGTTCAGAGAGGGAGTAGTAATGTTGCATTAGACATCCAGTAGCTCATAGTTATATGTAGGGGTTACATAACAGCATATAGGTCACTTTGTAATTCACAGGATATATTCATACAAGACATTCTACAGCCCTCTATTCAGAGTCATTGCTGTTATAAGTAGTTTACATGTATTGTCATTGTATTCAGTGATAGTAAGGAGATAATTACAGGTGTACCATGTGTACTTGTCATCGGTTGAGCCAATAATTAAAAAAATGTTCTATAATTAGGTGGCTGGGGTCTTATTATTTGCATAACTTCATAAAAATAGCAGATGGAAAAACTGTTCTCAAATCAGTCTATTCTACAAATAATGACAAAAAGTTTGATGTATTATACGGTACAAACAAGCTCCTATTTTTGTATGACTGCAGACAAAGGCCACGTATGGGAAAATAGATAATCTGGAGCTAAATATTTCCCAAACAGTATATTTTGAGTACATAGTTGCATTATTAATTGTATTTGGAAGCTTTCTGCCAATTTTGGTCAAAATTAAACTCTGTTTCTATGAGTTGTGTCCCTTTTTATGACACTTTTGGATTGGATGCTCAATAACATTTAAACATACATGATCTAGAAAAACGGCACCACTTCCAGCATCTACATCCATCCTGGTGATGATCACCAGATATGTGCCTAACTTGTGGTGATATAATTTTTCTTGTTCATAGGTTACCCCTTAGTGTCCCAAATGGGTCCAGGCTGGCATATCATAACTGTAATTAAACATTGCAAATTCTGCTTATAAATGAAACCAGCAGTACAGTGGGGTTGATAGGAATCCTGTAAATTAGTCAGTGCTGTGGTTAAGGGTAACTCTCCTTTTATGGTTAGCAGGTTATCATTGCCTTAATGAAAATCACAAAGGAAGATAGTGCATCATGACTTTATTGATTTTCATTTTCTCATACAGAATAATCACAGAAGTCACAAACTACAATATTGAGAAAACAGATTCTTGTTTGTGGATGAAAGAGAATTCAAAGGACCCTACAGATGTCTGACATTTTAAAGGAAAGGTAGGAGCAAGGATTAAAATTCACAGATAGTGAGGCAGTCGTGATTGCAACTTGTGCCATTCCAAGCACCGTCCGTGCACATTGCCCTGCAGTTTTCTTCCCCTATGTCACTGGGCTCACCTGCATGCCGGTCGGTATAATTTGGGGCTGTTCCATTCAGGGAACTGACTTCACCTGGAATCCCACGCCCCTCTGTGCCCAGATAGGCACATTTGTTAAATAACCTCACAATACTGAAAACAGCATCATTCTCCTCCTCATTCATGGGAGATGCAATGGAGCCGCCTGCCTGTTTGCATGCTTCCAATGTGGTCTGAAAATTGCCTTCTTGCCGATTGGTAGCAAACATTTTTTTTTCAACTGTCTTTATGGTCCCATCCAAAGTAAGGACTAAAAGTAAAGCAAAAAATCTTGTTAAATTTTTTTGAATCATTTTACACTCTCATGATTGCTACTACACTGGGACTCCCACTTTCTGTATTCTTCTATAATAAACTGACCCTTCCGAATAAAATAAGGAACACAAATTGCAAACTTGACACAACCCTCTCTTCCCCCCACCCCCAGATTAAAGAAAGCCAGAACATAGGCTATGTCATTCTATCCTACCAAACCCTGCTCTCTGCTGGATGGAACATCAATGACATGCTAAATTGAATAGGCTATTGCTCCTGTCTAGTGACTTCAGAACAAAGAGAATATAAACTCAAGAAGAGAGGAGAATGGAGGAAGAGAAGGGGAGGAGAATTGATTAGAGATAGTTATAAAACTAGAAAGGAATAGGAGATGGGAAAGAGACGGAAAAGGGACGAGAAATAGATGAAGATGATGGAAAAGTGGTGGGGGGGGAGAAATTAAATTTAAAAAGAGACAAAAGGAATGTGAATGGGAGGGGAAGAAATGAAGGAGAGAAGAGAAGAATTTTAAATAAAAAAAAATTCACTTTGCTCCTGAGGCTCCTATCATTTAAAGACGAGTGCACCTACTTAACTTTGCATACACTGAGTAATGGGACTGACTTCTTTGGGACTAGTCACAGTGCATAAAGTTGAGCACATGCATAAATCTTTGCAGGCCCTAGTTAGATATGTCACTTGTCATGACATTTTTGTAGCCACAGATTAACTGTTGTGGCCATGAGGGTCATTCACAAAGTGCAGGTGACCCAGAGAAATTGTGCAATAAGCCACCTCTGGCTGGTTTGCATCAGTGTTTCAACCTATCGCAGTTATCTGGGGCAGGGAGGAGGAACCCTAGTAACTAATTAGATGGCCCACAAGTTAATCTCTTTAACACAATATAGAATGTATCATTGCCCATCCCCAGAGATCCTCTGTGTAAAAAGAATATAAAAATAAATGGAACAAGACTCAGACTATTTTTAAGGTGCTGGTATTTCATGGCTTATTTTTTCCACACTTGTTAATCAAGTTGTGGGTGGGGCAGAAAGCAAAAGCAGACAGATTACCTCTTTCCAGTCTGGCAATTCGATTGTGGAATCCTTTCATGATTGCTTGTAATTTAGGAACATAAGAAGCAATTAGGCCTATGGACAAAAAAAAAAAAAAAAAAAAAGTATGCCCTTAAGTTTAAGTGTTAAGACCAGGCTTCACCAATAATGTGGAAGTCATTGTGTAAAATTAATAGCAGTTTTCTAAAACACTTGTGACTGTAACATTTGTTTGATTTTCTATGTGAAAGAATTTGATCTCAGTGTGTTAAATGAAGGGCCTTTTCAGACGCTGACCATCCTGATGATAAACAAGGCTCATGGAAACTGCTTTAAGAAGGGAACCACTTATGAAGAATTAAAATTGAGATCTTTGAGTTAGAGTCTTTAATGCCCCACTGGTGCTTTGCATCAGTCCAGTACCAAACCAGGCAAAAGAGGGTTGATCCTAAGATACTGTATGGGCTCCCTGAGATCACTGATGGCTGGTGTAAGATAAACATCCATCAGGCTGCTCCAGTGCTTCCTGGCCACAGCACTAAGCTATTTTTGTAGCACTCACCCCCTTCACTTCCAATCCCCCTGGGACCAGGTTGGTCAGGAGAATCTGGGCTATAATCTGTAATTTTCTACTCTGCATCCTGCTTATGATAAAGGATGGTCTGCGCTCAGGGTATGGTCAGAGAAGTAGATTTTGCTGGGATGAGATACTTGATTACGTGTGGTGGTGGTGGTGGAGCAGAACCAAGTGTAACAGACTTGTAAAGTGGGTGTTTTGTAATAATAAAGGAAGGTAGAAGCTTTGGTGCTATTGGTTGTGAATTCAAACCTTGTGGATAACCTTGAAGAAATGGAATTATCTCTTGTCAGCTCGCACAGTGCCAATTAGCTTGATTAAATTAATCTCTTACATTTAAAGTTTGATTGTACTCTGAATAGTGACTCGGTAACGATGGCATTTTGGAGATTCAGGTTTATAGTCTCTCTAGGAGATCTGTATTAAACACATTTTTTTACAAAGAGAGAGACCTTTTGTTTTCACTTCCCGTGGTGCAAACCCTGAAAGTCAAGCTGCACTCTTTCCTACTGGTACATCATTTCTAAGGTTATGCCTACCAGCAACTGGGAGGGTGTGTCTCAGCGCAGGCAGGCAAGCAAACACACACGAACTCTGCTCAAGTCAGCATGCTAAAAATAGCAGTATGTCTGTGGTCGCATGGGCAGCAGCTTGGGCTAGCCACCTTCATTGTACCTAGGACCTCAGAGGGGGTCAGGTGTGGCTACTCGAGTTGGTGTAGATATACCTTAAGTGTGAAGGTTCTGCAGGCCCAGTTATGCCCGCAATGGGTATGTCTACACTTAAAACCTACAGCAGCAAGTCTAAGAGCCCAGGTCTACAGATTCAGACTCATTAACCCCCCCACCCACCCCTGCCACCCCAAGATTAAATGAACAGATTGGAAAACAATTCCAGATTTTCATTCTTCTGTATGATATGCAGAGATTATGTCTAAATGACAAAAAAAGGGACATTTAAAAACTGAATGAGCTCAATACGTTTGGAACAATCCCTTCAGCCCCGGCATCCCTGTAGACACATTTTGACTGCTTCATAATCACATTCGCTGGTGCCTTTATAGTAATATTCTGAAAAACATCGAAGTAACCAAGCACCTCTAACTTTCAATGAGACTCAGGCTTCTAAATGTCTGTCACTTTTGAAAATGGGACAGAAAGTGCAATGAAGTAGAATTCGGTTTATCAGATACAAATAATGAAATACAGCAGAATATCTATACATCTGGGGTGGGTAACCACTGCAATTACCTCGCAGTCCTGGGAATGCTTTTAAACCAGGCTTTCCTTCTTTCACAGGCAGTCCATTCAGTCCAGGGATTCTGAGAATTCCTTCTTGGAGGTCCCAAGCATGGCACGTCACCAGCAAAAAGGCTATTGCTGTGACTATGTGAAACAGTCGAGGCAACATTGTTGGAGGCTAGCTATAAAACAAAGAGTATTTACTACCTGGTGCTGAGTGCTTTTTTTCAAAATTAAAAATGATTGAGAAGTGTGAATTCTTTATTTCAAAATAACATTTTCTGTTTGGGATTGAAATCTTTTTAGCTTAGTCTTTTTTTTTTCCCCCAGTGATACTAACATGATTAGTGTAGCCTTAAAGTGGTTAGAGTTTGAATGATTGATCATTACAGATGAAACAATTCATCCTTTATAGTCAGCGGTCAAGAGAGCAAAAACCCTTTTTTATAAAGCTGTTGATACACTTGTCACACAAGAAAAAATGAGATAAGTTAAACTTCAGTATTACTTATGCAGCACTAGGTAGGAATGTCCACTACAGTGAGGGGGGGGGGAAACAATCAAGATTACTCTGGGTGACCGTCTAAATTATTTATATTTTAAAAGGGAAAAGCAACCATTCAGACTTTCAGAGTGGTAGCCGTGTTAGTCTGTATCAGCAAAAAGAATGAGGAGTACTTGTGGCACCTTAGAGAATAACAAATTTACTAGAGCATAAGCTTTCGTGGGCTAAAGCCCACTTCATCAGGTGCATGCAGTGTCCTCACCCATAACTATTTCACATTTGGGGACAATGTATACCTTCAAGTCAGCAGCACCGCTGTGGGTACCCGCATGGCCCCACGGTATGCCAACATTTTTATGGCTGACTTAGAACAACGCTTCCTCAGCTCTCGTCCCCTAATGCCCCTACTCTAGTTGCGCTACATTGATGACATCTTCATCATCTGGACCCATAGAAAAGGAATTCCACCAAGATTTCAACAATTTCCATCCCACCATCAACCTCAGCCTGGACCAGTCCACAAAAGAGATCGATTTCCTGGACACTATGGTGCTAATAAGCGATGGTCATATAAACACCCCCCTATACTGGAAACCTACTGAGCGCTATACTTACCTATATACCTCCAGCTTTCATACAGCCCACACCACACGATCCATTGTCTACAGTCAAGCTCTAAGACAACCGCATTTGCTCCAACCCCTCAGACAGAGACAAACGCTTAAAAGATCTCCATCAAGCGTTCTTACAACTACAATACCCACCTGCTGAAGTGAAGAAACAGATTGACAGAGCCAGAAGAGTACCCAGAAGTCACCTACTACAGGACAGGCCCAACAAAGAAAGTAACAGAACGCCACTAGCCATCACCTTCAGCCCCCAACTAAAACCTCTCCAGCTCATCATCAAAGAACTACAACCTATCCTGAAGGTCGATCCCTCACTCTCACAAATCTTGGGAGACAGGCCAGTCCTCGCTTACAGATAGCCCCCCCCAACCTGAAGCAAATACTCACCAGCAACCACACAACAAAAACATTAACCCAGGAACCTATCCTTGCAACAAAGCCCGTTGCCAACTCTGTCCATATATCTATTCAAGGGACACTATCATGGGACCTAATCACATCAGCCACATGATCAGAGGCTCGTTCACCTGCACATCTACCAATGTGATATATGCCATCATGTGCCAGCAATGCCCCTCTGCCATGTACATTGGCCAAACCGGACAGTGTCTATGTAAAAGAATAAATGGACACAAATCAGATGTCAAGAATTTATAACATTCAAAAACCAGTCGGAGAACATTTCAATCTCCCTGGACACTCAATTACAGACCTAAAAGTCACAAGTATTCAACAAAAAAACTTCAAAACCAGATTCCAACGAGAAACTGCAGAACTGGAATTAATTTGCAAACTGGACACCATTAAATTAGGCTTGAATAAAGACTGGGAGTGGATGACTCATTACACAAACTAAAAACTATTTCCCTGTGCTAATTTTACCCCTACTGTTACTCACACCTTCTTGTCAACTGTTTGAAATGGGCCATCCTGATTATCACTACAAAAGTTTTTTTTTCCTCCTGCTGATAATAGCCCACCTTAATCAATTAGAGTTGGTATAGCAACCCCCATTTTTTCATGTCCTCTGTGTGTGTGTACACACAATCTTCCTACTATATTTTCCACTGCATGCATCTGATGAAGTGGACTTCAGCCCACAAAGCTTATGCTCAAATAAATTTGTAAGTCTCTAAGGTGCCACAAGTACTCCTCATTCTTTTTCATTCAGACTTTATTCTTCTTCTGCCTCTTTCTCTTCATTATCATAAATTTAGCATTTTCTAAACACCTCTGTATCAGTGGTGATTTCCTCAGTAAAAATAGACTGGTGTATTAGCAACAGAGGGAAATGTAAAGAAACTCTGAAAAAGCATTTAAGATGGAAAGTTTAAATTGAGACTTTGTTATACTTAAAATAGATTTTTTTTTGTAATTTATAAAGAAGTTCAACTTACCTGTCAGCTCCAATGTGAAATGCAAAAGGAGCATGATAAAGGTACAATTTATAGGGCGCGTAATTGGAGACACACACACACACACAATACATTTCTAATAGGCACAAAAATGTAATTGGATATACATTTGGCCAGCAACACAGACATTTGATAACTGTTACCTTCAATCATTTTTGCTTCTATTTTCTTTATGTTTAAAGCCTTGTGCAAGAATATTTAAAAAGTCAACATGCACTGATGCTTTCCCATTTTGTTGAGCCAAGATATTACATTTTAATTGAGTAAAACAGTCTTGGAGCAGAAGAATAGATGATTGCAGAGATGTCTGTCATGAGTTGTTTGCAGGATATAACATTTCCATAGATCTTCTGCTTACTCTAAGTATTAAATAATTACATTGTCATTGTGATTTTAAATGTCACAGAAGGAAAAACAAGCCCGAACACAGCTGACTTTTATTATCTACATATTATTTTCTCAGAAACCATAGTGTAAAAGCATTATATGCCCATCAGTGATGGGAGCTGAAAGCTTATGAGTAAATACAATCTAACACAATAGTGACAAAGCATACAAAACAGGACACATCATCTCCACCTATGCCCTATTCAGAGAAACTCCCAGATAAGAATTTAGTTGACTCCCTAAGACACAAATAGATACAATATTCTGTGGTGTAAGGGGAATTCCATATCCTAATAACAATAGCTCAACATGATAATATGAGGGGGATAATATCACCCACGAAACAGGAAGCCAGATTCTCAGTGAGATTAAATTCCCTTTACACAGCTCTGGCAGTGCAAAGAGGCCTTAAAAGTGGTGGAAACATACCGAAAATGGAAGACTTCTTCCTATTATCTTACATTTTTATGTCCCTGCTAAAAGTTGTTCCCATCTAGTGGCTAGTTAGTGATCTATATTAAATGACCTGCTGATCATAGTCCAGTTTACAATGGATGGGTCTGATGTCACCAAATCAGCACCAGAACTGGTACAAACCAGCCTCCTCACTGGTAATCTCAAAAGCCAGACTAAGGACGGAAAGAGATATGAAGACTGTAGCTCAGAAGAATAGACACCGAACTCAGGGAGCACAGGGACTGAGGATTGCAACATCTTGGAGGAATGGGGGGAAATCAGTTGCTCTCTGTGCTGTGCATGTTCTTTAGATAAACAGAGTTCATCAGTCTCCAGTTGCTCCTAATCTCACACCTTTCACCAATAACATCTGTTTCCAAATGTAAAAAAACCTTGTGTACACACACAAATATATATATATCATCCCATAATGACATTAAAAGAACACTAAGACAACGTCCACCTCTCAAAAATTAATAAACACCAGACAATGTTGCTTGTACAACTTTAATTCAGCTCCTTTGTGCAGATGCATTATGATACAGTCTTTACTTATATCATCACACACTATTTTTTTCTGAAGGCCCATGCCTCATTCAGTGGATGAGTATTTAGTCAATATTTCTTTTTATCCTCTGTATTCAATGTGTGACCCCAGGCCTTATTTTGCACATGCCATTCAAACCTTGCATACTGACTACAAAATTATTAAATTTCCCTTGTTTGCAGTGTTGTTATAGCCATATGAGTCTCAGGATAAGAGACACACAAGGTAGGTGGAGTAATATATTTTATTGGATCAACTTGGTGAGGGAGCAAACTTCTGAGTGCCACAGAGTTCTTCTCCAAGTTCAAAGTTGGTCCAATAAAAGATAATACCTCACTTACCTTGTCTTTCTAATTTTCTACTGGGCATTTCCGTGGGGTTCTCACCGCAGTATATAGGTACTTCATAAACAGTAATGGTGCTCTTACTATAAATGTTAATGAACTTATCTTCACAGCACCCTTGTAAGGTGAGGGGGTTGGTACTTAGCTCCATTTTGCAGATGGGGAACTGAAATGCAGAGCAATTAAGGCTAAATTTTTCTAAAGCGCTCACCAATTTTGAGTGCCCAGCTTGATTCTCATAGGCCGTGATTTTTGAGAGTACTTAGCATTTTATAGAACTTTAAATGCTGAAAGCATAGCTCCAGTCGACTTTGGTTGCCGTCATGAGCACTCAGCACTGCTGCAAATCTGGCTTCAGACATTTCCCATTGGGCACTCCAAAAGGAACACACAATTAGTGACAGCTGTGAAAAGTTTGGTTTAAGTCACTTTGCCAGCCTCACTGGCAGAGGCAGGAATAGAATCCAGTTGTCCAGGGTGGCATTTGACTTCCCTAACTCTGAGACTATCTTCTCTCTTCCAACCACCCCCTTCCTTATTCACTACACACCTCCTAATTTCTGTAATATATTAGGGTCCAACATAGAACAGCCTCAATCACTGCAGAAACTTGATGCGGTTTCAGAGCACTGTCAGTCCTGTGGGAAAAAATAGCATGTAGTCATGTAATTAAAAACTATCATATTGCATGTGGGGGGAGGGAAATTAATTTTGCACAGGTAACCTGAAATTTGATAAGTCCTCGCTTTTGAGTGCTTGAGTTTAGAACCTTAACACACTTTAAAATAATTCATTTGGATTAATTTCCTAATTAAAAAAAAAAAACCTCAAAAATTCCAACTTTGGAACTATATTGACCCCCCCCCCCAGCTTGGGTCATCAGCAAGGTTTGGGCCTTTACATCCACAGCACAGAACTCTTTCCCTTGAGGTA